TGTATTTTTTTTTAGATATATTTAAATATTTCTACTGGAAAATACTGAACTTAAACTAAAATTAAAATATAAAAAGCTAATTAAAAAATGTATAAATATTATTATAGTATATAAATATTAGTAAAATACCACTCCTTTATTCAAAGATCAACTTAATTAAAAAGCATAAGTATAAGAATTTTTCTTGAATTAATGTTTTTATCCCACTGGCATATAGTTTTTCTTCTTCTTCTTAGAAGCAAATATCTAACAGAATTTAACGAGGTTAATGCTTAAAACAAGAAAAAAAAACTATTTATTAATATGGGGTTAAAGAAAACTATTAAAATTTTCTCACTAAATGTAGCTTTTCAAGAAAATTGATATTTTTTTCAGGATATTTTTACTGGTCTGTAATTGCTCTTAAAACATATGACAGCCCTTACAAAAACCCACCATGGTAATTATAACTCATGCCAAAGTACTACAGTTACTTTCTACTACTGTGAACCAAAGTAATTCAATACAGGATCTGTTTCAAATGGTGTATGAAGCTTTCATAAAGTTTTTGCCATGTTGATTGATTTCTTTTATGATGACAATGGTGGTTAATATCCATTTACCACAATTTTATTGTACTAATAACTTGTATAGAGTTTTGTAAGGAAACTGGCTTATGCTGAGTTGGAAGAGTCAAAGAGTTGAAATCTGGTGAATCACTAGAGGGCGCTGCGCAACAATTCTAACCTGCATGATTGTCAATTCACTGCACATTCACTCAGAGGAAAGACCTGAGGCTGAATCCACTCCGAACAAAAGAAAGAGATTTCAGTGACAGGATCCTCAACTCAATTATCAGTGCCAGCAGAATAAAGGGCCGCCTCACCTGAAGCCAGTCGAGCTCGAGCGATGGTCGGTGAATCAGGGGGTGGAGCGGGAACAGTGAGGTAATTGTTCATCTGCGATATCTGAAAGTACAGAGATAAAACCTTTAACGGTGACATTCAGTTATGATTAATAAAGCACATTCTACCTTTCAAGACTATTTTGAGTCAAATAGCAGTCAATTGAGATAGATTTTTCCTCATTATTATATAAAGAGTATGAATTAATTAGGCAATGGATAGCTTTTAGATACTGATAATCTGGTCGTATCCAATAATGTATTGATCTGTCGTTAACGTCAAACCTTCTTTTCCAGCTCCTTCATTTTCTTCCGTTTGAGGAGCATCTCGTTCCAGCCGTCCTCGTACGGATCAGCGATCAGCGTGTGTCTGTTGTACGAGCGCAGCTGAAAATACACAAGACAGTCTAGCTTGATCCGCATCAATCACACGAATGAAGGAAATACAAAGAGAGCCGTTTGAGAAGAGGAAGTGGCGAGCGCTCACTCTCTGGCGGGTCCTCTGCAGGTTGGTGCGCAGGA